CACATTGTTTCTTGAAAATTGCATTTTTGTACTCAAACTTATTTTTTTCTTACAATTTAGTATCTTAACTTTATGTTTTGACAAAAAGTCCATTAATTAGGCTGGTAATATTACATTTTAGTACCTTAATATTTTTTTACCTTGTATTATAGTACCTAAATTTTGCTGGCAACTTTATGATTTTATATAAGAAATATCATATAGACCACTAGTTCTTGCTATGAGTCACAGGGACAAAAAACGACCCGACACTAAATGACTCTACCTTACAGGATCATCAGATGACCTAACCCTCAAGGAAGTAGGGATATGGTAATCCTAGCTATCCCCTATGGGAAGTCCCTCCGAACGAAACTTGCCTAAAATTTTAGGATTTTTTCATACTAGCTAAATCTAAGCAATGTTTGTGAAATAGTATTGTCGAGTCTATTGAATTTTTCTTCATCTCCATCCGTTTTGTCAAATTTAGTTGATCGTTGTAAGGCCATAAATTGAGCTTTTACCAACCTGATTTTCCAATCGGAGACCTTCTGCCAGCTGACGCCTTATCACACTCTTACACTTTATGCTAATCCGACCTTCTGACTCCAATCAAAAAAATTCGGCCTTCTGACATTGAGAAATCTCATCGCCAAGGATGGTCGGAGGGATAGTGTAATAGGGGCCATTCTGGGAGAAAATTGAATAAATTACTAAAACAGGTCTAGTAGTTAATTTAGAGTGAAAATTAAAGTGCTTCTAATTGAGAATGGTTGACCTTACAAGTTTTTATTTATAATTCACAAATTATTTATTGACATATTAAAAGAAATAGTAACTAACTACCTACAAACTATAATGATGCATATGATAAGACTAAAAATTAAAAGTGTATTTATTCAATATCAACTATGTCGCATATATGGTTCTCTTTGCTATGGGTAGGCGGTGGATTTGGGGTTGATAAAAAAATATTTATTTGATAAATTGATAAACGGCAGAGGGGTGAGATGGGAGGGATGAGAAATGGGGAGACGATAATGGTAAAATGAATATACTGAGATCGGGTAAACGGAAAAATAGAGGGACTCCTTTGTTATATATCCATAATACATGGGTTCATTTGTTATCATCTATAGTATAGGAGGTTATGTGCTTTTAATTCTAATTTTTCATTGCAATTTACGAAATGTTATAGTTTCCAATCCGACAAATGTAGATTATCGTTTTATGATGTCTGATTTCATTGCACCACTTTGGTATAAACACGAAAAATTAACCACTCCTGTCCCAAACAAAGGAAAAATGAATCCCAAGATAAAACTAATAATTCCACTTGCTGTCGTCACTTTGATTTTTCAATCTCTACAAATGTTTACTTCCCCAACGCTAAATCAATGTTGATATATAAAAAGCATTATTCCCAATGCACTATCCCAAAGCGTTCAACTATAATTATTGCAAACTTTATGAGTAATCTCCAAATAGGTCCATTTTTCTTTTTCTTTTATATTATATTTTCTTTACCTTTCATTTGTTCTTTTCCATAATTTAGGGTTGCTATTTTTCTAAGAGGTTCTTTTTTCTTTATCATTGTTGAAACCAATATTTTGTTCTTATTTGATTTTGCATTTTTACGCATCTTTATCACTCGCTCGAATAAAAAAAAATGAAAAAAATCTTTCACTCGCCATTAAAGATGACGAAAGTAACCTCTAAATTGATGAAACCAAATACTACATTCTTTCGTCTTTTTTTCCTCTGCTTTGATTGATTTTCCCATGTTCTCTATCTCTTCTTTTCCATCTTAGTTGAGAGTCCAGGTCAATTTTGAGTTTTTTTTTTGTGGGGATTAAAGGGGGACAATCTCGCATTCGATGGATGTCTTGGCAAAATATGTGTCGGAGCAAGCATGATGGGAGAATGAGTTTTCGACGATTCGAGCATTTTAATTAGGCCATTTTGGCCAAAATTGGGTGGAGGATCCTTAACCAACCTTAGTCCCTCGTGGTCCAGGTCCATAAGGGAAAGTATTTCTCAATAGGGCCCTTCTTCACTACTATGGCGCATTCACAAACCTCATTGGACTGGCAGAGTATCCTTTATGGTCGCCAATTGCTCCGGCAAATGTTGCGCTGATAAATCAGTAATGGTCATACAACATTCATTAAGAATTCCATCTGGGTTCCTAGGTTGGATCTACACGCCCCCTGCACCCCTCAGGTGATACCAGAGGGAAGTGATCCAACAATAGCAAAACTAATGATGCCAGGGGAAGGACGATGGAATGATGAGATACTCAATCACTTGTTCCCGTTAGAGGTAGTGCGAACAAATAAAGAAATCACACTGCCTCGTCAGGATATAGAGGACTCGCTAATATTGCATGATACTAGTGATGAAGTGTTCATCGTTAAATATGCTTATCACCTAGCGGCCATGATTGATCATAGGCGAAGCAGGTGGCGACAGACTGTTAGTTGGATGGATAGATCAAGTTGGATTCAGATTTGGGAGCTCCCAATCCCACCAAAGTTTAAGATTTTTCTCTGGCAAATATTCAATCGCATTCTCCCAATCACGAAAGCTCTGTTGAGAAGGAGGTTCAAGTGCTACCTCGATGCCCGGTATGCATGACGGACTCAGAGACAATGGAGCATCTCTTTCTTGACTGTCCGGTGGCAAGGGCAATATGGGATCACTCTGGCCTAGAATATCTAGGCCAAGGTCTCCCTCGCAAAAACTTCCTACTTTTTCTCAAAAAGTTGATGTTACTGCTCAATCAACCCCATCAGAGTATGATTGTTGTCGCGACCTTCTGACGAATCTGGAAATCTAGGAATTTGGTTGTCTTTGAAGATAACAATTTCAGTTTATATCTATGATGCAGCAGTATCATCAACAAGTTAATGAATAGATCGGTTTACCAACTGACAGAGCGACCTCAGCTCCCCCCAAGATTGAGAGCGCGATTACTTCAAACCTTGTCTCGCTTACTTTCAGGCCGGATGGTGCAACAAGGAGTGAATCACACTCGGCGGGAGGAATGGTTATAAAATACTAGAGTGGGTCGATTGTCTTGGCTAAGAGAGTTCATATTGATAAAATTGATGACCCACCGATGGAAGAACTATTAGTCCTCCTTCGAGGCCATCCAGTACTGTCTTGGATTGTGGCATCTCGTAGGTTCGTTTTGAAGGGGGCGTGAAAGTGGTCATTAATAAGATAAACCAGGACGATAAATATGATAATCACTTTGGAATCATTCTCGAGGAAGTTTTTTGTTTTTTGGCAATTCGTAATGGTCTTAACGTACGATTTGCAGGTTGGAATAACAATAGGGTAACCCACTTTGTTGCTAGAAATGCCTTTTCTTTGTAGCTTATTATGGGGTAAATGACACATTTGGTCACTGAGATTATTAAATTGTGTCATGTTTAGTCACTAGAAAAAATTAATATCAATTTTGGTCACTCGAATTACCGAAACTGGTCAAATTTAGTCACTCTCCCGTCAGTTTCCGTCCAACTCCATTAATGTAGTTGGACGGAAACTTTTGGGAGAATGACTAAATGTGACATGTTTCAGTAATCCGAGTGACTAAATGTGACATTTTTCAATAATTCGAATGACCGGAGTTGGACAGAGGCTACAGAAGAGTGACCAAATGTGACCTGTTTCAGTAATTCGAGTGACCAAAATTGATATTAAATTTTTCTAGTGACTAAATATGACATGATTTAGTAATCTCAGTGACCAAATGTGTCATTTACCCGCTTATTATGTGTCGCTCTTTTGATTTTATGTACTAGGTGTATACCAGAATGTAATGTGTTCGATATCTTTTTTTAATCAATATTATCTTAGTGAAATTTTTTTGATTGAATTATTAGGATACACATATGGGCCGAAAACACCTGATGCACGACAAGATGATCCCACACACAGACAATTTGTGGTTTCACTTTCACAAGTTACCTCTATGGGGCACCTCTTTTTCACACAAGCGCACTAAGACGGTAAAATGACAAAAGCTAAACAATAACAATTTGTCAAAACTTAACAAATCATTTTCTGGTTGCGTCAAAATATCTCTACCCAAATTCATCTTTTTAGCTGTCATTCAACACACTTTGCTCTGCTTCCCCCTTCCCTACCCTTTTGTACAGCTGTGATCCTCTTTATCACAGGATGTATGAATGCATATACGTATTTGTTTCTTTATTTTCTTATATAGTTTCTCACGTGTTATTGGCCTACGAAGCTGATTGTTTTAAGGGAATTCGGGAAAGAGTTGCCCTAAAAAACAGAGCAACGGAAGCAGAGCCTCTTCCCCTGTTTTCCATATTTCACTTCAAAAGTTGGGAGTGCTTGAAGCTGTAAAGCAGGTCCCAGCTTCCTGCTGCCTTCCCAATTCTCCAAACAAACAAACAAACTTTTTTGAAGTTTCATTTATGAAATAGCAAAAATATCCCCCTATAACGTGACTGTGACTAAGTGAAATTTTGAGTAGATGTGGTCTATATCTTCCCACTTGTTCCTCAAACAAAATGTCTGGGATTTCATGTAATTATTTGTACTCAAAATAAGAGGTTGTACTGGAAAAATCAACGGCAATAAGACATTTTAAATTGAAATAGTAGTTTAATCATGATTCAATTATTTCATACCGTTAAAAACCGCCTACCAATTTAGACTCCGATAAACAATTTTCCTGGGCCGTCGGTACGACACGATTTTACAAGCACCGCAAATAATAGGGTGTTTTTCTTGACTAGGAGGATGATCGGATGACCAGCCTTCTAGCCTACCCAATATACTTTTGGGGAAGTAGCTTCTTGTTACGTTCTTAACCGGTCTTGTAAAATAAATAATACCCTGACCTTGAGGGGAAGCTAACAAAACGTGGTTAAGTTAATAACAAGTTTGGACCAAACAAAAAGCAGAAGAAAAAAGAGAGAGAGGAGAGGAGAGTTTTAAAATAAGATTCAGAAAGATAGAAGAAGCAAAGAGGAAGAAGATGACAGGACAGCCAATGGATTTCTCCGGCTATATAAACCCATTCTCAGGCCTCCGTTTTTCCTCCCCCCGCCTCTCCCTCTTACCTCTTCACACCACCACTGTTCCATTTCTCTCTCGATCGCCTCTGTTTTCTCTTTCCCCCTGCTCTGTCCTTGGACAAAACAGAGTGAAAGAAGAAAAAAAGCTCCAACACCCAGGTAGATTGGAATGAATTTCCCCTCTTCCACATGTGTCTCTGGTTCGAGTTTCCCATTTTCGATTCCAACCCATCAAAGTATGAAGGATTTCACCTTCTGGGCTTTCATTTTTCTTGGGACTTAATAGTTTAGAACCATGGAAGATCAATGTTCAAAAGTTTCCAACTTTTTTCTCTCCCCTGTTTTTCACCGTACGCCATTGAAGCAAGCAAGCAGCTCCTTTTTTGCTAATAAACAATTGAGTTTCCTGAAAACAATCACCCAAAACACACAAAAGGCGCCTCCTTTTTCTGCTTTTTGGAAAGACAAAGTTTCATTTTACAAGTCGGACCTTTCTGAGTTCGCAAAACCCTTACATGCCAAATTGGACAGAGAATCCAGCATCAGAAAGTCATTGGTCCAATTCATCGTCGAATGATTCAGTTCCATTCAGTCGTGGATTGTCCACTCACTAGCTACGCCTTATCCCTTTTTTCCCCCCGCTTTGCATGGAATTGGGGTCATAGATTGCCCACTCCTTTATCGACCGTCCCCTGTTTATTTGGTGCTGTTCTGAGTCGACAAAGTGCCACAAATAGCCACTTTTCCTTCAGCTGGCCTTAGTATTTATAGTCTTGTTCGCTTGCATACCATTGATCCCTCACCATTTCCTGTAATCTTTTTCTTCCCCTGTCAAGGTTAATCGCTCAAGATGGAGTACGAAAACTGCTACCTTCAAGCTCAGAGGCCCAAATACGATTGCCTTCTATTCGGTAAGTTCTCTTTGCTACCCTGGAAAACTAATGATTTCGGTTTCACTAATTTCAGCTTAACTGACCCCCATTGATTGGAAATGAATTATGTTTGCAGATCTAGATGATACCCTTTATCCTTACAGCTCTGGCCTTGCAGCAGCATGTGGGCAGAACATCAAAGGCAAGTCTCCAAGCTTTCTCTAATGGCGATGAATCAATACATGTCTCATAGTTTTCAAATTCTGAAATTTGGGTGTTTCCGTTTTTTTGTGCTGCAGATTACATGGTGGAACACTTGGGCATTGACAGGAACAAAATAGTGGAGCTGGGCAATCTGCTGTACAAAAACTTCGGCACAACCATGGCTGGTCTCCGGGCCATTGGCTACGACTTCGATTATGATGAGTACCACAGGTAAAATTAGATACAATTAATTGATCAATCTAGCTGAACCATCTAGTCTTATCTAATCTAATCACGTTTGGATCCTCTGTTTTTTTCTTCTTTTTCTTTGCAGCTTCGTTCATGGCAGATTACCTTACGAGAATCTGAAGCCCGACCCGGTCCTTAGGAGCCTGCTGCTGAGCCTCCCGTTCCGCAAAGTTGTAAGTGCTGAAACAGAATTTTAACCCCAAACATTCTCATATTTCTTCGTTACTTTTTCACTGACGGTAAAAATAAAAATGAAAAACAAACAAACAACGCAGATATTCACGAATGCGGACAAAGTTCACGCACTCAAGGCGCTGAGCAGGCTGGGATTAGAGGATTGCTTCGAAGGGATAATCTGCTTCGAGACACTTAATCCCACCCACAAAACCGCAGCTTCTGATGACGAGGACGACGTCGCTTTCGTGGGCCCGGACTCATCCGCCGCCGCCAACGCAACAACAGCTCCTCCTCCTCCAACCCACCACAATAATTCCCCTGCCCCTGTTGAAATCTTCGACATTATTGCCCACTTCGCCAATAACCCTAACAGCAACAGCAACAACAGTACCTTGCTCCCCAAGTCACCCATTGTGTGCAAGCCATCGGAAGCCGCCATCGAACGCGCCCTCAACATCGCCAATCTCAACCCACAGAGAACCGTAAGCAAACCCTAACAAACAACATTAATGAATCCAACTTTGTACTTTTTCTAACAATCGGTTATTGTTCCAGTTGTTCTTCGAAGATAGCGTGAGGAACATTCAATCCGGGAAGCGCGTCGGGCTGCACACCGTGCTGGTTGGGACCTCGCAGCGGGTCAAAGGAGCGGATTACGCACTGGAGAGCATCCACAACCTGAGGGAGGCGATTCCTGAGCTCTGGGAATTAGCAGACATTGTTACCATCAAATCACCTTCAGACAAAGTTGCTGTTGAACAATCGGTCACAGCTTAATTTCACCAAGATCAAACCACCCCCAAAAAACTTGGGGATCACAGGGAAAAAAAAAAAAGGGGAAAAAAGGTTGAAATCATTGATTGATGGATTGGCCCCCATCCATCCATGGAAGCTATTGTTATGATCACACAAAGTTAATGGTGACCCAATTTCCTCCTCCACATATATCATCATCATGTAGCTGTAGTGATGCTCCCTTTCTCCTCTGTCTCTATCCGATCATATATATTAGTATATAATAAGAAACCCATGAAAAATATATGAGAGAAAATAAAAAGAAGAATTTCCCCCCCACCTCCATCATCGTTGCTTGTTGAAATCAGTGGAGTCATTATCAACCACATCGTCACTCACTCACTCACTTACTCTGCCAATCATTGATTGAAAAAAGAAGTAGTAACACGCAAGAGTTCCAAACTCTCTGAATCGGTAACCCTTATTTTCTGTTCGGTTTCTAACATTAATCCATCGGTCCTTGAGATTGCGAGTTAATGACGACACATGTAGTGAAATCTGGTACGGGAAACCGAATCTGGTGGTGTGCCTTAAAGATAATACAGCAAGAACTGGATCAACATATGACATGGGCGGATGGGGGTTTTCGTTTTAGCCTTGATTAATAAATAAATAAACTACTGCAATTATTGGGGCTGCCTTGCCTTCCCTTCCCCCATGCATTATTTTAAGGTTGGTCTGTTGCTTAAGCAACAATTTTTTTTTTATCACATAAAAAGCCAGCAACGCATTTTCAGATACTTGTGCGGAGGGGAAATGCTATACGACAGGATAATGGGATCTTTTTTCCATCAATTTTGAGATGAGCTAGTTAGTTGTTAATTATCGGTATTTGGTATTATAATATTTGCATTGAAGAGAGACGCGATCAAGCATAAACAACTCCAGCCAGAAATGATTTTTTATCATTAATCGTTGTTCCGAAAAAGCGGTTTAAATTGTTCGCTAGAGAAAGCCATGATTAACTAATGGTAAACCGATGTCTCCTAATAACGTAAGTCGTGGTTGTCTAGCGCGTGATGTTCCTTATATATATATTTTTTTCCTCCCGACGTGTTTTAGTATTGGTTAGCTGTTCGGTCGTTTTGATTTTGCTGGATCTTATACCACTCTCTGACACAAACCCTTGGGACATTCAATATGAACTATAAATTTGATTCACCACAAGGTTTGACGTGTCCGAACAAAGTTCAAACTCATGAGTTAGGTTTTTATTCTTTTTTTTTTCAACAACTAATATTATTGGGATGAACTGGATCTCAATACAACGATGGTTCGATCCCCATTATTTCTACTATTTGTGTTGGATCTGATGGGTTTTTTTAGAAAGACTTGATTTGGTTTCAATTCCTAAATATAAGAGAATTGTGTTTGTTTATTATTTATTTAATTTTTACATACATCAAATACGAGAAAGAAATGAATTAACCCAAATTGAATTGCTTGCATTTTCAATCCTTGTCCTCCCTCCTTCTACATTTTATCCAGCAGGGGGGATCAATTCGATCCAAAATCTGAACCAAATAGAGCCAATTTGTCCTGTCACTAAATACAAGCCAGGCTAGAGTCCAGAGAGCTAGCTGGCACACAATGAATAGATGGAGCAGGGGCGCCATTGGCCATTTCTGATGGTTGTAAAAGTTGCAACCTAACAAAAGCTTATCAGCTGGCAATGGAAAGTACCATAATCATTCATGGGATACGGAAATTGAACTCTCGTCCTCCTCTGCCCAGCTTTTCTCTTCTTTCTTTCTTTCTTTCTTCTTTTACTTTTCATGTTTGGCCTTCATAATCATCATCATCATATTCATGTATAGAGTGAGGATTGGTTGTCAAAACCGTACTAAGGCTGTACGTGGATTAATAATGGACTAGCTTTTGTCACATTGTTCTATCCATCCATCCATCCATCCAAGTAAGTTTGCATTGAATCTGACCTACTACTACTACCTCCTCCATCTCCCCACCCCAGCCAAATTGGATTCATAACTAATAATTATAAGAATTCGTTGATTTTTGACATGATATTAGATGTTTCGATTAAAAGATCTCGACGTTTCACGTTCAAATGTCCACGTAACTCAACATTCACAATTAATTTAAATACAAGGTATACAGGGTTGTGTGCAAATTCAAGCTTTGAGTAGATCATTAGAATGCACTCCTTCATCATTACACTCACCAACATCAATGCTATTGTGTTTGAACTTTTAATATCCACAAACGTGAATTCTCACAATTAAATTTAAGCACAAAGGCATGTATTTGGTGAATGTAAATTTCAAGCTTTGAGTTGGCCAACTCAAAAAATCACAATGCAAATCATTTTCCAGATTCACCAACATACGTGGCCTCGTGTTCGAATATTCACAAAACCTCAATATACTCACAATTATTTTTATGTAGAAGCTGTATTACTTAGGTGTATGTGAACTTCAAGCTAGCTCTAAATTTGACAATTCAAATCATTATAATGCACTCTCCAACATATATCAATAATCCAACGCTCATATTAGTTATAACTCCGACAATAATATCATTAAAAGCTAGCTGACATCTAAAGTGTATGCACCATAATCAACTAGTTCTTGACATAACGTAAGAGGTTTTGACCGAAATATCTAGTTTTTTTTACTCTCCATGAATCTTCATCTTAAGAATTTATTTAATTACAAGACGTATTGAACTTATGCAACCTTCAAGATCTTGGTTGCCCGACTTTTATTTACGGAAATCTGTGAGGGTATTAATAAATAATTTATATTTAAATCTCTCATGATAACTCCAACCAATGGCAGAGACAAAATCTGAAATTAGGTGTGTCTTTTTTTTTTAACATAAAGATCACTTGCATTACCAAGGAAACACGAGTTACATCGATATTGCCCCCAACCGGAACAAAGCACAAAAATCAAAACCAGTACAACCAACAAGAAATAAAGAAAAAACTTTTTTAACCACCAAGTAGACTACCCTATTATTTTGCCTTAAGTGTTTCATCTTTTCAAATAAAAATATATATTCAAAAATTATATTAAAATCCAGTAGAGACTATCCGAAAAAGAGAGCCCAGTGGCTGAGGCTTCATGGGTGCAAGACAAAACCAAACAGGGTAATTGAGAAAAAAAGAACCGATTGGGAACTTATTCCAATTGCGAATTTTATTTATAGTTTATAAATTAATTTTATGTCAATCAACTAACAAGAAGCAAGCTCTAGTGAAAGGAGAAATGTTACAATACTATATAACATTGGTGCTATAAGTTTTTGTCTTTATGGTACAACTTGAAAATTGTATCAATACTATATAGCATGGTAGAAGAGCTCCTAGTGAAGTGATAAAATATTCTTGCGTTGTCTCAAAGTACTGAATTTAATCCCTTACAAAAAACATACATAGGGAAGTTTTTTCTATACCAAAACTTACCTCGTTACCTGTGTTTCTGATAGTTTCCAAACCCCGTGCCTCCGCCAATGACTCCAACTATTGAAATAGTTTCTGATAGCTTGTATTTATATATTTTCGTACAAATGTTTTTACGGTACAAATTAAACGTATACTATATATTAACCTTATGATATAAACTCAATTTTTTTCCCTATAAATTCAACTTATACCTATACATTTTTCATATAAATTTTCGTACAAATTCCTCCATATTTACAAAATGAACTTATACCTGAAACAATAGGATACAAATTCGACCCGTATCTAAAAACACTGATACTCGTGGACATTATAAAATTCCTCCATCCCTCGTTGACAGCTAAAGATGCATGCGCTAGCTTGCAACCAACATGATCATTCTTTTTCTTCTTTTGTGAGTTCACACCTGTCAAATGCGGAATGATCTGCCTAGTTGGAATTGGGATGTTCCAGATCGTTTACCACTTGTTCACATTGAAACAAAATCCCAACGGATGTTAGGTTGGGCATAGATTTATTTGGCGAGATCGTTCAATGACAATGCAAAATATATACATACATACACTATACAAATATGATGGTGATAACTAGAGCAACATACATGTGTTATGGATTGAAATATTTTTTGCAAATATCAATTCTGGCAAAAGCTTTGAATTCTACAATCTTAACAAATAAAAAATTGTGAAAACCCCAACCCAAATAATTCGTATGAGTTGGACGTAATTATTCAAACCTAACTAACTATCACTAAAGATAATATGTATTTGCAGCCCTTTTCCAAGATGCTAAGTATGCGTTTGAAATATACCTACCAACCACATTGACTTCTTTATCTTATTTACATAATTGTGTCTTTCTTTCGATTATTGCATCGTTGGTGGTAAGAAAGTGGTTAAATATCATACATGGGCCTCTTTCAACAACTCGAATTATTGAAACCAGTTGGTTTATGATATGGTATCAGAGTTGGTTTGTTCTTGATGTCACGACTCACGTGTTCAAGTCCTCACGACCCCCCAATATTAACTGTTGTCTTTCAAGCACATGGTATGGTTGGTCTGTGCAAATTTCAAGGCCATGAGTCGATTTTCGTTTGAAGGGGCGTGTAAGGAAATGGTTAAGGTTCATACATGAGTCTCTCCCAACAACTCGAGTTATTGGGACCAGTTGGTTTATGACATTCTTGGTTTTAACTAACAATTTTGTGTTCATAAGGTGCTGACCATGAAATGGATCGGAAGCTTCATCCTTGTCGGACACAAAGTCACAAACTTAAGCCCGATAAATGTTGAATTTTAATGGAATATAATCAATTTCTATTTTCCAGAAGTACATTACATCATCTTAACAAAAGATTAATAGAAATAATTGGATCTATATATTGATTAATCGTCAAGAACTTTATGTGCAACTCGAGTGAGAATCTGTAACTAATCAATATTGATCTATAGCATGATTCGAAAGGTTTTCTGACTTTCATCAATTAAGCCTCCTTGGACCATATGACCATTCACTACTGAAGAACTTAATGCAAGCAATGAAATTTTCATTTCAATTATTTGGGTCGGAGCATAGAGCCATAGACGAGTTTAAATACCAAAATAGACTCCAGAAAAGTATCTTCCAACTAAGCCCCTGCAAATGTCTCTCTCGACCCACGCACCTTGTATCACAATTCATGAATTTGATGGCCCAAAATGCTCGATATTCAAGCTCTATCGAAAGGTGACATGTCTTTCCATGCACAAGCCAAAATAGAGAGGTGTCGGTTTACATCTTGAAGGTTATTTGAGTGTGTTGGAGTTTAAGTAGTGTTGAATTTTTTCTATGTTGAATTCAGGATAAGTATAATATAAGACTCTTTTCATATTTTCGGGCTAATCCGAGCTAAAATGGGTGACCCATTAACCCTTGACCCACTAGCTCGTCTGGGTCCGGGTCAACCCGCGGGTTGACAACCTTGCTGCATGTATTCATTTCTCTCACGAAGAAGCAAGTCATCGTCTTCAAGCCAAAACTGTTGATTTGACTATAACTGTTTCATTTTACTTTGTTTATGAAGAGAAAAATCTCTCAAATAAGTGATATATGAAATAAATTTGTAAACTTTGATTGTCAATGCTCTAATTTTTAGTTTGAGCTACAGTTTTTGGGTTTTGGAAGTTTGCAGTTTCTGTAAAATAAATGTGATCTA